TCTCTAATAATTATGCTGACAGTCTAAAATAATGTTTTTAGACCTGTCGAGTTCAAATTCTTATTCTTATTCTGTTTATTAAACTTTGACTTGTTTACAAGTATATCTCCAAGTGAAACTGCGGAATGAAATCTAAGCAATTCCCTAGTTATTACATAGACTGGTTATTTGTGCTTGTGGAGAGCTTTCACGATTTCGCAGTTCTGTCCTATAATCCATTTTTGGCATTTTCGAATAACATTACTTTATGTTTCCATAGTCAGGAAATGACGATTGATATATAGACTGCCTCGATATCATTTTCTCAGTTAACAGAAACATCTAATGTAAACATTTATTGTTCAAAATACAGTGCTTCTATTCAAATCTGTTTCAAAGTAATTATGTTGAGCATTGCATCATTTTATAACGTCAAAACAACGTAGGGTCACATAGCGAACGTGCTTTGTGAGTGACTATGACGATATCCCCTGGGTAGTTCGCAAATTAACAATTTTATACGTTATAGCAGTCACATAAAAACTTACACAGGATTTTTTCAAACTATAACCAATAACAGAATAAGCCTCCCAGTAAGACTGGGAGTAATTGGTAATTACGCTAAGGTCTATTGCGGTCTATCTATATATTGCTTTTTTTATATACGAAAGGAAAGGTGGTTCGTTCTTGTTTGCTCAAACCTTACTAAGTATTTCTAAGTAAAGTCAGTCTAGAATAGGCTAAAATTTCGATTTGTTCGAATGTACATCATTTTGCTCAAACAACTCGAAATTTTAGGTTGTGCAACTGCTGGAAGACCTTGGTTCAATATCCTAGATACTAAACCTTCAGAAACATTAAATCGATATGCTAAATCAACATTTATGAGTCCAAGGCGTAATTTCATAAATATTAAAAGTAAGACACTGGTTTTAGACAGAACTTTAGAACTAGGTAGAGCAGAAGAACAGTAATTGACAGCCCACATGCAGATGAATGACAAGTAATTTGGGAAACCAGTGTAGAAGGTCGTTTTTGTATTGCTGTTGTTCAGGAAGTTATCAGTTTTTGTTTTCTCCAGTTCCTCTTTTAGATGTTGATTTTCAATCTGAAGTCTGATTAGTTCTTTATGTAGTTGTTTGTTTTCTTCTTTTAGCTGGCCATAGGCATTGTGCATGTCATCTAATGGGTAAAATATTTTATCAAAGGTTAACAAATAACTTTTAAGTTATTTAAAACTGATTATTATAATGAACATCCACGAGCTACTAAAAATACAAGAAACACTCTTGTGAAATCGTCCTCAAAGTTGTTTTTTTGCCTTTTAAAATATAATTAAATACCTGCCATACTATAATTTCTAATTTCTAATATATTTCTAACTTTTATAATTATGAGTGTAAATGTTTTAAATCCATACAGATTGACTATAGTCAAAAGCAATTAGGTCGATATTGCGGTTTCGTGCGAATTATAGTGACAATTTTTGTTTCAAAATAGCTGGGAATTTTTTTCGAATTAAAAGTTAAATTCTGACTAGTCCTATTTAGTTTTTTATCCTTTTCGATTGTGGAATCATTTTGTTCCTCTGATAAGGCAATTTGAGTACATGATCTATCAAGTCCATAAGGATTTTAGCTCCCAGTTGCACTTCTTCTCTCTCTTGTTGTTGTTTTTGTTCACGATCCCTTCTGATCGATCAACGACGATTTCTTTCGTGTTTCGACTTTCGTCTATGGGCCTTTTGAAGTAATACATTGGCATCTCCATAACCCATAAATAAATGTGGTTCATAGTCCGGATCATTTGGATCAGCTTGGGTGTCGCCTGTAGTATAATATTAAAGCGATAACTTACTAGTAGTATTAACTGTACTTGTGATCTTCTTCGCGCGCCATCTTGTTATTTCTAATTTTTTGTTTTTGATCATTTCACACCATTTTCCATCATTTCGATTCAGTATCAATGTTTTCCCGATATTTCCATGTCATGATAAGGGACTTCAAGTACTTCTAGTTACAAATGAGCATTAAAACAATGARCTAACCTGACAAGAAGTGATTGCTACACACTCTTCCAGTCCCGTCGATTAATCGACTTAATCCAGTGCTGTCTTCTATGTTTTAGTGTTGSTAGTCTCAAAAATCTAATTAGTGAATCCTTTTTAAACGGTTTTTGCAGCCAGATACGCAGCAACTTACAACCATTTTAGAGTTGTATAGATTTTCTGTGCGATTACATAATCTTTTTTTACAAACAATGACAGCACAGCGATTGGGATTTTGCCAATCATAGACCGAAACAACACCCCGAATAACGTCAGTGTGACGTCAAAGTGATATTCGCTATATTTGAAAAAAGTCCTAAATATTAGATTTTTGTTCTGTTTCAGTCATTGTTGTAATAGACCCTATATCAATGAGGTATGGATATCCAACTCCAATTCTCCTTCGACACGGATACCAATCAGCGACAATCTTGGACAAAGAGTTAACAATTTTCGTAAAATCGCAAAATATTGCAAAGTCTTGTGCAGAATTTGTATATTTGCTTACCTCCCCCTCATCGCCCATAAGGTGTGTTTCGAAGATCACATCTACATGCAGAGGAGAGATCGAGCGTTATGTTGAATTTTGTTGAATAGTGAATTATTATGGTCCTTTTTTCCCAAGATTTCAGATCTACTTAACGAATTGAGGTTCTTTCGCTGTAAAAGCCGTGTACAATTTCCTTTTTTTATHACAATTTAAGAGCAATTTTCTGTAACAACCAAGAAAATTTAAAATGACTTGGCAAGGCTACCTCACCGATTCTCATGATATTCCATGCAGTAATACTCTTTGGGTTACTGATCATCAAGAACCATTTGGTTTTTGGATTCTCAGTTTTCCTGATTTTTAAGAGCAGTCACTTGCTTTGGTGCTTCAAAACACATTTTTCAAGCTCAATTTGATGTACAAAATAAAGCCCCCAAAATGGTATTTTTACTTTCATAATCAGCAAATTTAGGGATTAGYCRTTGAAAHRCATCTTTACTTTTATCGTAAATAGCATTTTCAGTTGAAATAGTTAAATTCCCAAACTTTGGGCTTCCTTTTTTGGAAGCCATATTTTGCTCGGTTTTCATAAGTCTGAAATTCCGTTTTTTTAAAAATTTGTATCTCCTGTGCCATATACCCAAATCAATCCATCTTTTGTTTGCAATCAAAGAAAATTTATCGATCTTTTAAATTTAMCAAAGAAAAGTTCTGGCAAAGTAAGTTTTCCTATAATATTTCACAATATGTAGACTATGGTTTTGTGAAAACATGTAAATATGCCTTTACTTAATCGCTAAAATATTTCTTAATTTACAGGATATGATATCAAAATCTACTCAAACATGTTGTACAAAGACCGAAATGTCCATTTATACAATGTAAATGCACTCAAGTGTCGTGAGTTTTGCATTCTCAGCTCGTTTATAGTGRTAATTTCGACTGACCTTACAGCATATTCGAAGCAAAAAATTTAACTCACCTTTAGAAATACTTTCGAGTGAAATAGGAATGTTAATGAGCTCTAAATGTTTCAAATACATCTTTAAATTAGTTATGGAGTACTTTTCAGTCAATCAAACGGTCTAGGAGTGAGTTTTTAGCAAAATGAAGGGTAGCTTCGACGATATTTGACACTTGATTTCTCCTCGAGCGAGTAAATTGGCTTCTTCAGTGGCTTATCTTCACATAGACGAAATCGTAGCAAAAAAGAGTTCATATCAAGGTCTGCTTCTTTTCCTTCACAAGCTATTAGCTTTTGGTGGCTAACTTTACAGTATTTTGCGTAGAAATCTGCTTATTGTTAGCGAAATATTAGCATAACTTTGCTGTAGATACCGCTGAGCATAAAGTTGGTTAAAATTAGGGAGAAAATTGCTCTTAAAGGGCTACTTGGACGAAAATTGCGAAACATTAGAAAAGACWTGGAAATCAAATAGACCTATCTATATGTGTGTAATAATCATGAAGCAACAGATTTCAAGAAAATATTGATGCAAATCCTTAATAATTTGGGCAAAAAATGTTGGAGTAGATGACGTTTGTTATTCCATCTTTTGAATCAAAATTTCTCTGATGTGGGATAATTCCAAGACAAACATTTTCCCGCAATTGTTTTTAATAGATATAAATGAGTCATATATTTGTATTGCTTGTAGTTTTGAAATAAGGCCATCTTCATGCAAGTAGCACTTTAAAGCGCGAGACGTGATGGTGTCAGCGCAGTCTGTATTTCTTGTTATCGACATACTCTATTTAGCCAGTCATATCTTCTTTCTCCTACTTGTTTTCTTTGTTTTCGTTGCAATTATTATTTACACTGATTATATGATAAAATGTTCAAGGGAAACTTATAAAACTGTAGTATTTAAACAAAGAATCTTTACATTATTTGGCAAGCAATCTTGAGCTTTTGCGTCGATATCCGTTGGTGAAAATACACAAATGTCACCGGAAAAAAGAATTTTTGATACCATAGGTTAGGATAGCATCTCAGTTTAATTAATTTCCGTTTGCAGCAGTCGCACTCTCGAAGTATGTACACATAGTTGACACAATCAAGCGACATAGATCTACGGATACATGGCAAAAGATGGACAGTTTTAATCACTCGCAATTTTTCAAGTGCGTTTCATACAAAAACGGAAAAAGGAATATTGATAGATAAGTCAATCAATAMGTTGGTGCAAGTTATCTGAAGATTGCGTAGTAGTTGAATTGTTTGGGAACATTTTCGCAGTTCTACAATCAAACACCTACGGTTCAGAAAGTACAAACACTAGGTATTTGACCATTTCAAAGAGAACCGGCAGAAAGTGACATATTTACAATGGAATAACCAGTCCCAGGAAATGAGAGAAGAACATTTCTGCCAGTCGTTCGCCTACAGCAAGGAAACTTTAATATGTGTTCGTGATATTAGTTAAACCATTATTAGTTTGGATAGAATGTTTTCTGATATAAAACTAAGTACTTCCCGCTGCTTTCTCCAAGAGGGAGAAGGCATAACAATGGTTGTATTCAACATCATACTGTGTATTCTTGGTAGCATTGGAAACATTATGGTTTGCTTGACCATTGTTCTAACACCCTCTTTACACACTCTCTCAAGTTACTGTATTTTCAACCTGTCGACTGCTGATCTTCTTGTATCCTGCATCGTTGAGCCGTGCTTAGTCTTCATACTCTCATGGAAGCTACATGGGATATGTCTTGTTAAAGTGGAGTATGCTGCTCGTTTAGTGGGAAATCTATCTTGTGGGATATCTATATTGACACTCTCCATCATGAGCATAGAGCGATGCTGCGCCATAGTGAAGCCAATGACATACAAATCAATAATAACAACTAGAAGGCTAAAAGTCATACTGTTTGTGACGTGGTTTTTGTGTTTAATTACTCCGAGTTTAGATGCCTTTATAGAWGAACCGAGAAAGCAAACTTACGTCCAGTTTACATTAATATCAATGGCGTTACTTTACGTTATTATCATTGTTTCGTATGCCTACGTATTCAAGACGGTTAAAAAACAGTCATTTCAACGAAGGCAACTTAGCCATACCATTGATGCCTCTAAGGAAGCAGAAAAAAAATTGTCGAAAACAGTGGCGTTTGTAATTGGCCTCTTTACATTATGCTGGTCACCTTTCGCTGTGAGGATGGTACTCAAGCCATCAGTTAATTATGGTTCGGAATACATTTGGACGGTGACGTCGAGTCTTGCCAACTCAGTAGTCAATCCAATTCTATATTTTTACAGAAGTCATACTTTTCGAAACGCCTTGAAGAGTATTTTCAAGAAAAGTTCTTTCTGTAAGACAAGAACAATTCGAATTAGTCCTGCAGTGGCACACTTTCAAATTACAGCAAACATCCAGAAATCAGCAAAGGCGTTAGCGAGTATTGATTTACAAGACTTTTCAACTGATATATTGAGTAATAAATCAAAGAGTTAATCAACAGATAAACAAGGTTATAGATAAGGTATCGATTGCCAAAGCGCGAGTTTATTGCTGTTGTTGCTCATGTTAAGTAGGCTTGAAAGTTCGGTACATATTGTGACATAGAGGCGATTTCGTATGACTGGGAAACGGCGATGACGAATCGCGTCCTTACCGTAACTGTATCGTAGCTGTATCGTATTCATGGATTCTTATTTGTTGGCATTTTTTCTGCTCACACCTGATTGGATTGATTTGCATGTACCGTAGTTTGTCGAACCGTAAGTTCGATTGTTGACTGGATGAAGCCGACACTTGCCKTATCGCGCGTTACGGTACCGTAAGCTGTACCGTAAGTTCGATCGTTGATTGGGTAAATAAGGTGCTCGCGTGATACCGTACTTTAGCCGTATCGTGAGCGTGATCCCTGATTGGCTGAGAGACTTTCTATTGACAACTGGTCTACGTCATCTTGTCACACAACACCTAATTGCTGAATTCTCGACACCTGTTTTTGCGAAGTTTTCGACAGAAAATTCGATCAGAAAAGCCTTTTAAGGATGAATGTCAATGGGAATCAGTTTTTTGTAAGTAGAGATTTTATAAAATGACTGGCAGATGTTGAGATTTGAAGAGATTATTATATCAATATTCCTCTATTTTATCGGCATTTCGAGACCTCACTAGTGTCGATTTGTTGAGAAAGTGTAGTCTTGGTTTCTTGATGTCAGCTTAATTAAATGATCTTTTTGATAAATAAACCAGTTGAATTAGCTTTTGTTTGTATTTACTTGAGCACTTTTAAGCAGGGAGAATATTTGCAATTCATTATGTGAAAGTTCAAGCACTCGCGCGTTACATGTTCAGTCGGTAATTTTCAAGCATTACTTGAATTCTTTTGTACTGCTTTCTTGACAATACCACTTAAATGTTTTGTTGGGAAAATTAGCCTTTTTTTAGTTGTGATTATCATTATTTCTTGCGATTAACTTAAGAAAGGATCGAAGGAATCTATCGTAGCCGCACCGTAGCTGTATCGCGTCAGCATCGGTTTCCCACTCATACGAAAACGACTCTATGGCAAGTTGCTTGTAGACCTTTTTATTTTTAATCTAAAAAGTATCCGAATCACATTTCTTTATTTGAAAAGTTAAATCAATTGTGAATAATCTGATGAAGTCAGATGATGTGCCTTTTGATTGCCCTATTTGTGTACTTTCACCAGACAGTGTTGGACACCGTCGTCCCTCATAAAATAAGTAAATAAGGTCATACTATTCATGAGGGAGGGATATCAACCTTCTTTAGCCTGATATGTGAACAGCACCAGCGCCACTCGTGCCAGAAAAAAAATTGATTTTGAACACAGATTTTTCCTTGATGTAGTTATCGAGACAGGCATAAAAACCACGTCAGAGCTGGATTTCCGATATTTATTGAAAATACGCTTGAACTAAATGAAGAATTGAAAAAATAGATGAGAAATTACATAATCTAGTAAATCATCATCCAATAAATGTTTCAATGAACGGAAATTGCAATTTATAACATAGATACTATAAAACGCGCGCTCTGATTGGCTAGATTTTTATGAAAAAGAAATGGATATACCATAGAGATATACCATAGATTTTTCACGAGAGTTTTGCCGTGTTGTCGAAACCTGATCAGAAAACTTGAACGCATTGTAATACAGTTGAACGTCTTTTTTTATGAAATGTCAGGCTTTTATGAAGACGACAATATTCTTCCTAATTTTTGTATAAATGAGGAATATGCTGAAGAAGTTAGCTTAGTTGAAAAGCCGACAGATTACAGCGAAAATACGGCGAGATTTGCGAACTTGAGCTAGACCGAGTTGCAAGACATCCTTGTAAACAAGCAGTCTGACAAGACCAAAAAAAAAAACTAATTGGTGTGTTTCAACCTTTAAAGGTGAGAAAAAATCACAAAATATTATATCAAGGAGAATCTGAATGTAATAAAATTATTATTTTTCCTATTTATGTCCGCACAAAAGATTGAAAAATGTTCATATAACTCAAAGACACAATTAAAAGGTTTTCGCATCACACGTTTGTAGATTTTTATTCATGTCATGCAGTTGCCGGCGTAGCAAGTGAAAAATAGCAATAACAATAACAACAAACTACGAATTAAGCATTTTTAATTAAGCTTACATTCTACATAATTTTGAAAAGTTAGACACTTTATAATAAGAAATATATTAGTAACATGTCGCTAAAAAACCGGCGAATTACGTAATAATGATTACAAAAAGTTTACGGCTGTACTAATGTAAACAAAACAAAATTTCGTAAGCTAGTGTAAAGTTTGAAGAAGATGCGAGCGGACGGAAGTTTGTCACAATGGCTCATGACGAAGCGACGAAGAATCACCCGGGAGGGATGAATGATGTAGCCAGCACTGAAAAGTACGCTCGGATGTACGAAACAGACAACGAAAATGATGGTTACCGTGCTCTGCGACTTTATCTGTCCAAGATAAATCCTGAATGTGAGGCCCTTTTTCAATATCCAAAACGAAATTGGAGTGTACATGACGCAGTTTGGTATGAAAACAGACCGATCGGAGTAAACAAGCTGGATGCCATGATGACAGATATCAGCAAAGAGGCAAAGCTTTCGCGTGTATATACCAATCATTCAGTTCATGCTACCGCTATAACAATGCTGTCTAACGCTGGGGTACCAAATAGACACATTATGGCAATTTCGGGTCATCGCAATGAGCAAAGCCTAGCACACTACAACACCAGACCGTCGACACAACAACTTCACGCTTGCTCTGATGTTCTCTCGCGAGGTCTAACCAATACTAGCTCATCAAGCCAATCCCTTCTCCAAAGACAGTCAACCTCCGTTTATGGCACAAGACCTGAGCCAAATGACCAAGTGGTGGTAATGCAAAATCCAACTTTACAGTCTTTACAGTCTCTTCGTGAAACTGTTTTAATTGTTCTGTCTCGATTCAAAACATGCAGGTTGTCATGCGCCCAGCTGAGAAGTAGCTACACAAATTATGTACACACCTTTCTGATTTATATTGTTTTAGACTTTGTATCTTCATTAACATCATTTTCTGCAAACTTTTGTATCTTTAAGAGAATTTTTAAGCTATGTTGAATCATGTAAAGAGTTCTAAGTTCAAAGCTCAACTGTCAAAGTTGATTTGCCAATAGTTTCACGTGATTAAAGAGACTTTGAAGTTTGATCAGAGTTGTTTCATGTCGATAATAATACTGTCTATGTTATAAAAGCAATAGTCAATGCTTTAGCTGTGCGTAAATCGAGTTCTGGATGCACTTGGATAGTTGAGAGAGCACTTTGTGGCTAGAGTTGCTCTCGACTGCGTCTCGAGCAACTCTTACGCCACGTCGTGCTCTCTCAACTATCCAAGTGCATCCAGAACTCGATTTACGCAGGCGGTGTTGGACGCTGCGCGCAAAGGGTTATGGGTTGTATTTTTGACCAATCACGTTGCGCCATTTCTGATTTGGCGCGAATATCGAAAGCCAAAATGGCGACCACGAAGAACTCAAAGCTGAGTACAAAAATGTGTTTTTTTGACTTATTTTGAAACTGAGTTTGTCAAAAACGCGACAAGTCGGTAGTTTATTGAATACTTTCGTTCATATCCTAATATTGTTTGCATACATTTGTATTTCATCATGAGGAACTACCTATGGAATTTTTTTTTTTTTTTTACCAATGTCAAGTCGACCATTTTGACATTGACAAACGTTTTCCGTAGTTATGATTGAATTATCTATTCCATTTTCTTGAGATTTACAATGTAAAACGAGTAATAAATTTGTAATGTCTTGGTTGTATGGCGCACGATGGCGCAGCAGTAAATAATCACTTTTGAGGGCGCAGAAGTGAGCGAATTTTGAATCTTTGTACAAACATTTGTCTATTTTGTTTCCTGATGTTCGTTTCATCAGATTATGTTTGAATGTGCGGTTTTTCCTTGAGTACAGGAGTAAACAAGTATGTGCAAGTCATAAAATACTTTGTTAATAAAAATAGTTCACTTTGAAGTGAATTAGAACTCTTCTTTTTCTGATTTTCAAGTGAAAACAATTAAAGTCTTATGAAATTATGCTAACTAATTTGGCTGTGTTTTATTAATTTTCAGTGCTTATATCCAAATAGTGCTACTCACTTTGTAAGCAAACTACGTCACTGCTTGAGCTTTATCATTACCCTAACATTGTATGAAAATGACTAATTTAAGACTAATATTTTCAGAAAAAAGCTGCTTGTTGCAAAGAYAATGATGAGGTAACTCATACTCTCCCATTTAAAGTACTTGGAGTTGCTCATAATTTACAATGGCAGAGGCACTTGAAAGAAGCAAAAGCAAGGATGATGAGTTGTGGAGAAGTGGTTTCAGTATCTTTATTGCACGAGCCCTACAACAGAGTGGATGGAAATGCAATATCTGTGSATATTGATTATGGAAAAGGGCCATGTTTAATAGGATATCTTGCAAGTGAACTTACTTGCCATGTCTTGCCACTTTAAAGACACATCTGCATTTTTGTTCACAAGTCCTACTTAGGCAAATTACTTACCTAAAAGTAATATAATTTGAGCACTAGTGTGAAGGGRGTAATTTTTCTGKCGCACAATGAAATTCAGCACGCAAGGACAGCTTTCCTCTCTGAAGTAAGTTTGCTCTCCCTGACACAAATACACCAGGGTCACAACGCCTTTGTAWTATTACCTTGTCTAGTCTTTCTTSGCCTGACCGGGAAGGAATGTTGAAGGAAGGCAACTTTCCACATTTAAATCTATTGTTAGCACCCGTCCAGTAGTAAAATGGGAGGTCTGGATTTATTCTTTTCAAAAATTCTTGACCAATCTTGGGGTAATTCTCCTTGAAGGTTTTATGGTCAAAAGYACTGCCAATCATCTGATGGAGGATCGATATGAATCCTTGTACGTCATCAGTTGTTGATGCCCTTGGGTGTTCTGGCGGGATTCCTTTGGTTATACAATCATTTCTTCTTTGCTCTTGACTTTCAATATTTGCAAATARGGCAACAATTATTTCTCTTGTAAGGCCTTTGATACCTTTTATGGGTCTACAGTGAAATGTATTCATTAGTGTAAAGTGTAATAAATTCATGTGTTGTTAAGATTTTTTGCAATGTAAAACTTAACCTGTTTATATCAGCTGTTGAGTAGTCAAGGTTGTATTCGTACCAGGGCATCCAGTCTTCCAGAAGATAATTTAGCATGTTTATGTTGTATGCCCTTCTCTTTTCTTCTGACAGGCCTCGTCCATCAGATGCTTTATGCAAATTAGATATTATTGTTATGAAGCGTTCATCTTCAGTGTAGTTATTAGCTCCCATAAATCTGGCCATTGCTGGTGRCAAAAGCCGTTCACAATCAGGTACAGATTGCTTATGTTGGCCATTCAGTGCTGTGTATGTTAGGCCTGTGTTTGGGTCATGAAGTGCTTCGACAAAATGTTCCAGTTCTATATCTGGGATGGAACCATTTCTTACACATGTTGCTATACTTTTCAAAATATGATTGTGATCCTCTCTTTCGTGAAAATCTGTCCCATTGGACATTTTTTCAGGTACATACAGATGTTCCCTGAAGTTGACACCATCAGCTTCATAAGTCTGTATATAAAGTAATAGAAGTTAAATGTTTTGACATTATTTGAATTGTAACAGCAAAAATAATATTCCAACCTTTATTTTGTGCTGGAAAATGTATTGTGCCATGAGTGATTTTAAGCAGTCACCTTTTGCCTCAGTTTTTCCTGGAATTCATAAAAATAGATAAAATCAATATCATTTACCATAATAAATGTAGCCCTTTAGTTTTGAGTAATACACAGTCTAGTATTATTGCATTTCAGAAATTTGTTATACTTACCTGGAATCCATGGATGTGGATCATAATAGAATGGAAAGTGAACTCTCCTAAGTACAAATATTGCCTTATCAAATTCAATGTGTTGGTTGTGGATAAAGTCATAAATCAAATCCAGGTCTTCATTGGGAACAGCTTCATGGTAGACATAAGCTCTTATATTGTTGTTAACATCTGCACATATATGAAATCTAAGTTGGTTAAAGTGTTGATATATATCATTGGCATATGAAATGTTCTGTGTGTCTGATGAGATGATACTTAACCTCGATATGGAAGAAGAAATTTCTCGATCTGCTTTGCTGACAGGGCCCTTGCTTCCTGCTTTGAATCCATTATGATTTGTATTATTGAAACAGTTCTGTCGGATCCCATAGTTCTCAAAGAATTTTAATTTAAAAATTCCCCATCAGTGACAAATCCTATGTAAGCATGTTCATTTAGTATTCATTTACAATGATATGATATGATTTAGGGTTAGTATTACCTATCACTTCCATTCCCATATTTGTCATCATGATGTCCCTTACTTCATCTCGAAGTTGCCTCAGAARACTATCAGTGATACTCTTGTATGGGAGTACTCTAACAGGAATTGCATATGGTTTCATATTTCTCATTTCATCTGCAATCATGAAGATCATTAAGTGTGATGCCACTTCTCTTTTTTTCATGTATATATCTTTAAGGTACTTCTTCATTGAGGACTTYCATTCTTCAAGCTCTGTGATCCATTGGTATTTAGTCGATTTTATATCTTCCAATATCACTGATGACAAGTTGAAAAGGGATTGATTTACATCCAACAAGTGTTCATACTCTTTTACATCCCAATGAAGTGCACACAAGGACTCGTCATGTGTGCTCTTTTTTTCTTTTTGCTTGCTTTTTCAATGACAAGCTCTGCTTGTTTCAATCCTCTGGATAGAAATTCCTTATCCTTTGTAATAAGTGACTGCTCTTTTCCTAGAYACTCTGGTATTTGTTCTGAATCTTGTCCAATAGAACTAAAAGGGAKAAAGATTTAAACATTCTGCAATCCTCTTCTTTTTATTCATCTTTAGTTTGTTATTTTTCACATTGTTAGCAATAATTAAATTCATTGATGAAATACTTACTCAATGGAGTCAAGTCWACTTTGATATTCTTTTATACTCTTCTGAAGGGCACCATCTCCTAAGTCACAATCACCAGACCACTTGTTGCTCATCGACTCTCTCAATCCTTTCCTCATGTCTGTAGCATCTGCTTTTATCCACCATCTTCCTTGGGGGTTAGATTTACTTGCTTCTTCAAGTGCTTTTTTCTTTAAAAAAAATACAGAGCAATAATAAAATTGATTAAAATCAAATATTGCACATTTAAAATAATATATTTACTATACCATTTTATGTATTCTTTTATAATGTACCTGTATATCAGTCTCTTTAGATAGTCCATTGTCTTCTATGYGCCTTCGAATTGTACGAGTGCTGGGACAAGCAATATTGACTTTTGCCTGCAGGTAGGAATCAACCAGTACAAAATTTCAAGAATAAAAATAATAATAGATTATTTGTACATGCTTTCATGCATTCTCTTAAATGAAAGATTGCATTAATTCCTTGCACTAAATATTTGATATATGACTTATATATGGACAGCATTTAAAGCCATTTTGCATTATAAAATATAGCTTATTTACCTCAAGTGGATCTTTTTTCACAGGCTTTCTCTTTTTGTAGAAAAGAWCAACGACGCGTTTGTTAGTGTGATAAAAGACTACGTGCCTCTACCAGATAGTGTTTGCATCCATARACACGATGATCAACCAATATCCGTTGCTACCAAACTTCGAGCCGTGAGTAATGCTAGAGCAGGTGGCCCTGACAATCTTCCCATCTTTGGGTCCTCAAAAAGAATTTGCTGACATCTTGGCTAACCCAGTTACTGACATCYTTAATACTTCTTTTGCCGAATGTAAAGTCCCCCGAGTCTGGAAGCTTGCAGACATCTCACCACTTCCCAAGGCTTCTACTGTATGTGACTTAACTAAGGACCTTAGACCTATCTCGCTCACATCCACGTTKTCCAAGATTGCTAAATCGTTTCTCATTRAAAAGTCTCTTAAACCAWCCTTGYTATMATCCATTGATCCTAACCAGTATGGCTTTATTCCTGGCTCGTCTACGACGCATGCTCTTATCTCCATGTTCCATCACTGGCTAAAGATCACCGACAAATCTGGATGGTCTGTGAGAACTGCGGTAGTCGATTTCTGTAAGGCATTTGACCTTATTGACCACCAGACGTTAGTTGCCAAGCTCTGTGATCTCGGCATAAAATCCACGACCTTAAATTGGATTGTCGACTTTTTGAGAGACTGACAAAATGTTCCTGCTGGAGTCCCTCAGGGGACCCGTCTTGGTCCCTGGCTGTTCTTGGCCATGATCAACGATCTGAAGACACCTAATACTTCTACAGTCATCTGGAAGTTTGCCGACGACACCTCCGTTTCCGAAGCAATTCCACCATCTAGTCACAGCAAGTTGCAGCAAGCCGTCGATCACATTAGTAACTGGTCCAAGGATAATCTAATCCAAATTAATCCTACAAAGTGCAAAGAAGTCTTCACTACGTTTCAGAAAAGAACAGTCAATCACGTACCAATGGAGGTTGACGGTATACAATTTGAAAAAGTTGAAAGTGTGAAAGTACTTGGTTTAACGATCCAAAACAATATGAAATGGAACACCCACGTTGATGAAAYAACATCGAAGGCTGCCAAGCGTTTAACCTTCTACGACAACTCAAGTGCGCTTGAATAAACAAATCAGACTTAGTGAAGTTCTATTGTGCTGTTATAAGATCGGTATTAGAATACGCCTGCCAGGTATTCCATCGTAGTCTCCCTAACTACTTGTCCGCCCAGATTGAGGCAATACAGAGACGCGCTATGAGATCAATCTACCCAGAGCTTAACTACTCAGACGCACTTCAGGCAGCTAAACTAACAACACTGTCAGCAAGACGTGAAGCATTGTCCAGTGACCTCTTTGAAGCGATAATAAATAAATCAGACCATAAACTTGCCTCACTTCTACCGCTGAAGGCATCCAACTCCAGAAAACTGAGGAGATACTTTGATATCCCCCATTGCCGAACAGACAGACTTAAAAAATCATTTATCATAAGTCATGCAATGGGACGATTTAGCTGACTGAAATCTATTGATTGTGTATTTATGTTTTTACCATTTTATTATCTATTCATAACTTTTATAACTTGTTATTCACGTAATTCAGCCCTTGGCTGCAATGTGTATTTCTTTTATTAAACGATCTATCTATCTAGATGCCACAGGGTGGATGACAAAAAATGACTCAATATCTTTTTGTGGGGGTATGCTTCTTCAGCTCTTGGTCAAGATTTGGATTTGCTTTTTTCAGAATTTTGTGATTCTGTATGTGGAACAATTGATGATCCAAACACTTCTGAAGCTGCTTGTCTAACAATATCAATCTGTGAATGATCATCATTGTTGCTGTTTTCATGATCATTATGGTCATATGCCCATTGCGGACCTGCATGAAGACAATGCCAAAATGTTTTCAAAATGTGCATACATTGTTTCTGCCCATTTTAAGTAGTCATCTGAAGCCTGGAGTTTTGTTGTGAACTCCAAGTTATAGGAAATTAAGCCAAATGGCATGGTGTGCAGTGGCATTCTTGTCGTCTTGCCATTTGGCCTTATCTGAAGACACTTTGCTAAGTTGTATACTGCATTGTCTTTTCCAACTTCATAAAGGTTTACCATAGAATTAAGTATGAGCTCTACAAAGTCATTTTGTATGTAATGATTCAATTTTTTCCAAGCTTTTTATTTAGCATTTCTTGTAGGAATTGATTTGTCAGATCCTGTTGTTGTTTTGCTGTCAAGGTGGTGAATTGTTCATATAATGATTTCATCTTTGGCTTCAAATCAATATCTGGTTTTGTGAAAGAACTAGTATAAGATATACCCAGCTCCCGGGACCCAGCTCTTTTTCTGCTTCATCTATGGTGGCATAAATCTTACATAAGTTTTTGCTGATTTTTGACCTGCATGACATCCCTGCAAAGTAATAGAGTAGGATTTAAATCAGCAAAAAATAATTGTAAGTTAATGAAAACAATCTTAAAATTCTTGTATTAGTTAAAAGTGTATTTGTATTTGAAGGCAGGCAATAGAATGAAATCAAAAAAACTGTGAAATGATTGAAATAATTAAATTACCACTACTATTTAGACAATCACTGAACCGGAACAGCACAAAGAGATTACTTTGATTGTTATAGTGTTCTCTTGGGTATTGCTTATTGGATCAAATAAACTGTTCTGGTTCAGTGCTAATGACTATTAGGAACTGATAGTGCCTATTAGTTTGTACTTTTTAGTTTTTATTTCATGGCTCATATGACTCTGCTCTATCATATTTTTACATGTTATTTTACTTGATTTTTATTACATTGTATTATAAAAAATAAGGATATATAGTACTTTGATAACGTATTTCATTTTTATTCAGTACCAGATAGAAGGATTTCCTAATGCAGCCGATGTGCGTGATTGTTGGTTTGAGTAGGGGTGTGTCCAGGGGGTGTCCTTGTAATATGTGTTTATTTTTCATATAAGGTTATACCTGATCTTAGAGGTAAGGATAATGATTCACTTATGTAGCCAGCGCAGTTCAGCCAGAAGTCTTGGCTTAAGCCGCGTGGCCAAGGTTTCTCGTCGTTAGCCAAGTCTGTCTCGGTTTCAGTTGCGGAAAAAAGAACAACATACTCTACAAGCTTTTTAATCTCGCATTCTGTCCACGGTCTGTTATACACGTCTCCCTGAATCTAGTCAAAGAAGGTGTATATGTAAGGCTAACATCATTACGCCTGTTGTGTTTTGATCCTCTTTGTATTTTTATTACTAGATCAACACAACACGTACCGATGGCTGTAAACGGCGCACTTTCGATTCCCTACTCGTAGATGTATAGTCAGCATCTCAGGCTCGCTTTCTTCTTAATTCCATCTTTTATTAAATACGGTAACAAACAATTATTGGGCGTAAAAGAAATACTATAATATTCAAATATGATACAATAACACATGCAAACTTTGAATAAAAGTCCCATATTTATACCTGATCTTCTAAATTTCTATGTTGTGATGTTTTTTGACGGAACGAAAAGCTCGAAGTTTCCAATATCGAAGAATTTTTACCATATAAAAATTTGCGATTTCAACTGTAGGTAGAGGCTAATTTGTACGTGCTGTAGTCTAGGGAACCTTAATTTTTCCTTAATTTGATAGCTTGGATATGTTTGTCGAATACTACTAGTTGTTTGAACATACTAAATAATAGTACTGCTAATACGCAATATGTATGATTTCTAAAGCGACCAAATATACGATAAACATTTTACAGTTACGAAATCGTTCTCGTGTAATGTCATAATGTGTAATCACCGAGTTATGTAAGCCATGTAGCTCTCAATGTGTTTGTATTCGCAAATATTTTGTTTGTTTTTTCTTCGTCCATAGACTCTAAGTTTTAATTACGGCTTGTACTGCTTTTTACGCGCGAGCGCGCGCCTCGTCTTCATCACCAAGTCAAGGTCGATTACACTCTTCTTTCGTACTATCGGTGATTTTCCAATTTCAAAATGGAATGGTTTTGAGCATTTATAAAGCATTTTCTGATGTCAGACAAAAGGTCGTTTCTTCATTTATGGAATGTGAGTGTGAATTATATCAACCATGAGTTTTGACGGGTCTTTTTTGAGACTGTAGTAAGGTATATTTGTGCTTTTTCAGCTAAACTAACCAGTTTTCTAACAATTTCTTCTAAAAACTCGATCTTTTCATGGGGTTTTAACCTCCAAGCTGATTTTTTTCGCAATACCACAGAACGCTTTTATGATTTTGTATATATTTTCAAGATACTTTTTAAGTTTTCCTAGGATTTAGTCTTTATTTTGACTTTCAATCAACTTCAACGGAGCTCCACACAGCTCAAAGGTCAGTGGCAAATGAAACCATTTTTGTTTTTTGGCCCATAACCCTTTGCGCGCTGTGTCCAACACCGCCTGGATTTACGCACGCTAAGCATTGACCATTCCTTAAAAAGTATAGTTTTAACTGTCAAATTTAAATTTACGTCCTAAAAGACGAGGACGAGGACGAAGTTGGTGAGCGCGCACAAGGTTGATGTCGTCAGCTCGCTCGCGCATATTCAAAAGAAATTCCTAATTCACTCACAGGTAGCCCAAGCACTGGGCTTGACAGTGAAAACGAAAAGTTCAATAAAAGTGGTAAAACTGAATAAAATTATTTCAAACTATAACATAGTGTTCTTCTTATTTTTCTCAACACCCCTGAGAAGTTTCAGCTCATTATGGTAAACTTTCCCCTACTTATATATATTATGACAAGGTTGGAGCCGACTAACCGACGAAAAACACAATCGACACGGCTTCAAATTCAAGCATTTATTTGCCAAAAAWACACTTGCCGTTCAAATTGACTGCCATCACACATTTGGTTATGCATAAATACATCTTAGTTTTGATGTCTTAGAGGCCAGCCAACGGACAATCAACGGTCAACGGTCAAGGGCCTGGGGACAGTGACAAATAGTCCACGGAGCCGGGGAGGGAAAGGGATTTTTTTCACGACAACACCATAATTTTTAACCAATCACAGCGAAGCGGGATGTWAATATCACGAAGGCAAAGGGAAAACCCATGACTCATGTAAGAAAAATACGTGAGAAAAAGCCGGCTTTTTTGCAAAATGTTTTGTTTTTTGCTTTTCTCGACTCTTTATGATCTTTATCATCTCTCGGTGCTGYTCGCAAACACGAAAATGACGGAAAATGACTAACATCACTTGATCGATCGGGTAAGTCAGAACCTTTTCTTGATGTTTCGGTAGTCGCAAAATTCACGAAAAAGTATGTTGCTGCTTTACATGCATTTCATGTAACGTTTAAAAAATTATTATAGGATCATGGCACGTCTTACTGATGATCAGAAGCAAATCTTTGAGCTTGCTCTTTCTAGCCATAATGTGTTTACTAGTKGTCAAGCGGGAACTGGGAAGACTTATCTCATGAAAGAAATATATAGATCTCTTCGAGCAAAAGAAAAACACTATCGTATGTTCAAGTGGCATTGCCACAATCTTTATATTCTGATGTTAACCCAGATTGTGCAACAGTGCACTCATATTTTGGTATGAGTGAGCTGCCATTCAATYAGGTTGTTGAACGTGCAATAAGCAATAATCTGGTGGGTGAACGACTGAAGACAGTGGATTGTCTTATCTGGGATGAGATCTCGATGTCAAGCAGAAGACGTTTTGAACTGGCAGAAGAAATTCTGTATGAAGCAATACCAATCAAAACAAAAAAACCCTTTGGAGAAATTCAGGTACTACAAATTTGTAATAATGATATAAGGAACTATGCAGAAATATTAATATAATATTTGCATATTATAACAATATAGAAATATACAAAATTTATTCTCATTATTGCTTTCAGTTGTTACTGGTTGGTGAGTTTGCACAGCTTCGTCCAGTTCCAAATCAGTTTGACGATGGGGAATTTTTATTTAAATCACCAACATTTGTGAGTGCAATAACACATCGCTTCCCCCTTTGTACAATCAAACGCCAAGAGSGAGACGAGGAGTATCAGGATTGCTTAAAGGAGATTCGCACAGGACATTGTTCTGATAAGACCGAAATTTTCCTTAAATATTTGTCAAGGGAGCTGACTGGCGAACAACATCCCATACACATCTTCTTTAAGAAAATTCCTGCACAAGTCYATATCCTGAAAGTGTTAAGAGCAATGCCAAGCAATGAAATATCACTTTATGCGATTGACTCTGGTGATGTTCAAGGAATACAATGCCCTGCAGAGAAAAATCTCAAACTTAAAGAGGGTTGCAAAGTTATGTTAGTATGGAACAAAGCAAAAGATCTTAAGAATGGTTCAACAGGAGTCTTTGTCAGACAAGATGACATCAACCACATTATTGTTGCATTCAAAGGTAATAACATCAATGCTTTGAGAATGGTATTTATAATACTGATATGTGTCAACTACTGCATATCACATTTTGAAAATTATATAATAATATATTTTATAATATTATAATTCATTACACTTTCTATAATTTTATTTCTAGAACTCATTAATAATTCATGAGCTATTAGTCCAATCAGAATCCAACTATCGGGTCACATGATGGACCTTTATATCCCGATAAAGCACTGATGTTTTATTAATCAGTTCTATATCAGAGATATAGAACTGATGTTTTATTAATCAGTTCTATATCAGATATAAAGAACTGATGTTGAAGGTCATCAGCGCCTTATCGCAACCAAACACTAGCAAAGGTCTCAGTTTTAATATCGCATCATAGACCTTTGCTAGGTTTTAAATCAGTTAGATTCAATGTGCAGACATGCAGTATAGCATAGACTAGCCATTCTTACATGTGGGATCAAAATTCTTTCATTTGTGACAAATGCACATGCTCAGTAGAAGTTTAACATGCATAATCTCTGTTTTCGCATTTTTTAGCTTTTTTCTAAAATGATAACAATTTCTGGATGTTGGAGTTCTAGAAGTAGTATAAAAAACTCGCAGTCGTGCTTTATCGGGGATATAGACACTCGACCTTTGGACTGTATATCTCCCAATAAAGCACTCATAATAACAAACGTTGTTTTGTTTCTTTGGCTATGTTTATCTTGACTTGTATGGTCTGATGATCTGTAGGTATACATGTCAGACTTACCAGAGAGACATGGGAAAAAAGAGACACAAATGGGAATGTCATTGGCACTAGAACACAATTCCCCATTATCCTGACTTATGCCATAACCTGTCACAAAGCTCAAGGACTTACATTATCAGCAGCCGTAATCCATTGTTCGAAGGTAAAAATAAATGCAATAATTTGCAGTGAGTAGATGTCAAATGCCAGCGAATGGTATTGCCAATCATGCGGTTGCATATAAAAAGAAGAACATAAATAACATATATCTGCTTTTAGGAATTTGTTCCAGGCCTGCTGTATGTTTCACTCACCTGAGTGAAACATTCAAATAATATTCAAGTGTTGAACTTCAAAAAGTCACATCTGATGGTACCAGACACAGAATTCCTCAATGTTTGTGAAGATTCCCTAGCAGTCAATGAATCTGACTTAAAATGCTGCCGACACTCAGATAGACTTGCAAAACAGTGTCCCGACTCTAACAACCGACTTGTCGACAACGACGAAGAGTCAAGGGAGGATGAAGTGGAGAAGATTGTAAAATCATTCTTTGAAAGGCCAGATCCTGATGAGGTATTATTTATTAGCTATAAATTTTAGTAATTAAAATTTTAGTGCGTACTCATGGAAATTGTAATTTATGTTACAGTGAATTTTTTGAAATTTACAAATGAACTAAATTGTACAAGAAAGAGCTTTGATAAAAGAGCTATATCAGCAGTGTAGATACATGACTTGTAAAAATTATGCTAATTATTTTGTTTTCTATTGATTATTTAAGGTGTTTCGATCGTAATAAATAGCGCTTCGCGCATATTTTTGAACTCCAACTACGTCGCAAATTTCGATTCCACTGCACTCAAATTTCCACAGAAGTAACAGTGATTATCGATCATTCTTGTTAATTAAATTAATTTGCCAAAAAGACAAGCCATTTGGATAACCGGTGTAAAACAAAAACACGTACATTTTTCTTCAAAAATAATTTACTCATGAGTTTCGAGAAAATTAACTTTGAAGAAAAATGAAGGTGTTTTTATTTTGCATCGTTTATCCAAATGGCTTCGCTTTTTGGCAAGTTGATTTATCAACAAGAATTATCGATAATCACTGTGACTTCTGTGAAAGTTTGAGTGCAATTGAATCGAAATAGTTGGACGCGACGTAGTTGGAGTTTTAAAATACGCGCGAAACGCTATTTATTACGATCGAAACACCTTAATCTATACCACTTACTAGGAATCAGTGACTATAAAGTATGTCTACCCTAGCAATATATTATCTATATTGTGTTTTTATTTATTTTTTATTGATTTTTATTTTTACTTGAAGGTGATGCTAGATTTAGAAACAGTGTACAGTGTGATGATAGAAGATTTTGAGACATTCACTCACACGCCTCCATCCTCATTCAACGTGGCTGCAATTCTAACCAACATGAAAGTAGAACATCCATCAACAGCACATACAACACAAAAATCAGGTGTGTAATGACTATAAGACATGACCAAATTTCAATACAAAGACAACATTACCTGAAACAATACTATTATGCCAACCATTAAAAAAAAAATGGCAAAGATATCTGATAATTTAAGTTGAATTAACTAGTAAGATCTTCATATTTTTGTTGTTACTTACTGCTTGTTACAATCTTCAATAGGTATCACTGATGAGATTATGTGTGCTTTGGCTTACAAGATAGTGATCGTGGAATCAGTTGCAAACATTCAAGGAGACCAGGTTGTAATTACTTCAAAGCAATGGACTGGTGATACTAGACAGCTGAATATGCTAATAACAAGATCCAGCCATTTTCTAAGCTATCTAAAACTACTATTTAATGCAGAACATCTTGAAGTAATACATATGGCAATTGGAGCTGAGTTACTATTCAAGGTAAACCAAGTTTATGCAAATTGAGAGCAAGCTATCTTTAAAAAATGGATTCATCACCTACATCCATTCAGGCCTTAAATATCTATAAAGCTGACAAAATAATAATTAATACTCATTTGCTTAATACCCTTAGGTCTAGTCTTCAGTTCAATGTCCATGATCACTCAAGCAGTATATGTTACTTGCAGGTATACCAAGAATTTGTAAAACATCTAGTGGATAAAATCACAACTCACGAAAGAGCTGCCACAATTCAACCCAAGTGTGTAAAGGAAAAGGGGTTATCAAAGATAAGGTAACATAGAAACAAATTTGTGATGGCAATTTATAAAAAATGAAATAAAATAAGCAAGCTGAATATATTCTTAGCTGGCATCATCATCATCATCATCATCATCAACATTAATGAGCATGATTAAAAGAAACATTTCATGTTTTAGGTACATTGGAGCCTGGGATGTTAGGAAAGTTTTTTCAAGAAGCATGAGCTACATAAAGGGCAACATGGCCACTCATAGTAAAAAGACAGWGATAGAGATTGAGCGCCAGCTTATGAGATGTTCTCTACTTGAAGACAATGTGATGGAGGATTACAGCATTTTGCAATGATCTTCAAAGTATCCAGACACGCTCAAGTTCACAGAAGATAARCAATATCTGCCCAGAGGCTTGACGCATATTAATGATGACGCCTATGAGGTTTTTATCGAACTTGAAGAATTCCGGGTCAAAAACATGAACGACAACACTTTAAGATTCCATGGAGAACTCATAGTAGATAAGTGTATAAGGATGGCTATGAAGGATACAATTCTCACCAGATCATGGATGAGTTGCTTTGCTGATAACGAGAATAAGGTATATTGAACATCAAATTGAATTTCATATTTGTGACCATGACATAATCATGATTCATACTGTAGTTTATTATTTATTTTTCATAATTCTTAAGCTCTCATTCAGCAGCAATGATATATGTGCAATGTTGATAATTTTATAGGAGTTCATCAAAGAACTTCTCCATAGCATCATCTGCAAATATATGAAGGCTGGAGCTGGTCAATACATCCGTGACTTCAGATTGGCACACAGGTATAATAATAATGATATCAATAACAATACTATCTAGTCATATTTGACAAACAAGTTACTCAATTACATTACAGATGCAATCATATGAATGCTTAAGGAAATGAACTATCCTAAAATATTTCTTAAATCAATTGAATAACAGTTATCTGGCCCGTGACCAACAGGTTAAAGAAGCAGGCTGAACACCGAAAAACGTGTTAGAGAAGAAGCAAAAAGTGAAAAAAAAAATGCCACAATTACCATACAAGAAATGAAAAACGATTCATCCAATGGAAAGGCCACCTCACACCAACGGCATCCTACACTTCTTTGCAAAGTATAGTGTCGATGCACTGTCGAAAAACTACACAAAGGCAGTTCTTCGACAGCTGTGCTTTGCGTATGGGGTGAAGCACAACTCCACACGCAGAAAGTCGAAATTAGCTGCCGACCTATTCAATAAGATATGAGAGAGTTGGAAAGAATCCCCTACCACTTTTATCTTCATGACTTGCGAGCTGTCCCTGCAGGAGATGAGAGCACAGGAATTAGAATAAGAATTTTACTTACGTAGCATGTAAGTATGTATCCTAGCATWTAAGACATTTAAGCTTATATGACTCGAACTCGATGTCCCATTCTTTCGACCCTTACAAAAAGTCCCCACTCCCACTCCCATCAAATAAGAACTTTACCCACAATRCAATTGTACAATTTGCGAGATTTCATTTCTTAATTTTCAAACTAGTGATTCCAGCGTTACTCTTCCTGCTGATTTGTCGTTTGCCCGAGGCGTGTTGTGTTCTGTGTTGATTCTTGGAGTCTCCACGTTGGGTTACTGTTCTGTCCATTGCACGCACGAACCTGTGCAAAGTGGTTCTCCACAACGTCTTGATTTACAATTGCCGGTATGATCACCGAATGGGGAAAGTACTGGAGTTTTGTCGCCACAATCGATCGAAACCCAAGAACCATGGATTGTATATCGAAGTATAACTTAGGCGAGATAAACATCTTTGCTTCATTCCCTTTAACCTCATTTCTCCAGCCTTCGAAGTAAGACAACATTTGTGCTAGCTCCTTTAATCCAGGATCTGAAGGCGAACTTATGGGCACTTTGTTGTGAAATATCTGAATGGCTTTTGATGAGTGTCCGAGTAACTCAGTTGTGGAGTCGATAGTTTTGGGTTCCTGTCCTGTTTTTCCCTTTAGATGTTCCTTGTATGCCTATAAAATATGTAAGTAAGTTTTAGAGAAAATAATATATGATATTAAGCTTAAGTTTTTTGTTCCCCATTTTTGCAGCTTCACATCGTAGATGCGAAGCTGATATGTCATCGAGTTGAGTGATGATAGAGTGATGATAGAGTGATGATAGAGTGACTGATAGACATATATTCGGAAAAATCGAAGGTCATTCTGGTTTCAATCGGCGCTCATTTACGGACGAGTCAAATAGCATCTAGGAAATGGAATTTGCATCAAAGACTAACAGAGCTGATAGAAATCGATACATTTGTTGTTTTTGTGTGTTTTTATTATTATTTTCGTCTTTTCTGGAGTATTCTACGATTTTCCAACATTTAGCGGTCATGCATCGTTTCACGTGGTGACACCGATTTGTTATTGATTGATATTATTCCGTTTGCATCTGGATGTTTTGCTTTTCACTGCTGTTCAACTTCAATTGCTGAAGGTGAGTGTTTATATCTATTTTATACAATRCTTTTATCCTTTTTTGCATCACGAATCAGGCACAGGTTTCTACGCGTCTTTGAGGAAGTGTTTGGTGGAGATCTTTTTAGGATTTTCGACACTTTTTCGCCTTTACGTGCAGAGAAAACGGCCATCATATCAAAAGCATGAAGACCCAGAATATTCTTATTGCACTAGTTACCAAGGGACACATGTACCAACACAAAAAACATGCAAAAAAGCCTTTCCTATACACGTTATTGTATAATCAGAATGTCAAGCATTTTTAATAACATGTTTCTAAGCATTACATCTTTAACTTGATTTATCTTTCTCCATATTGCTTACATTTTCCTATTTTTACACCTCTTTGCAGGTCATCATTTGAAAACACTACTGAAGGAATAACTGAATACATCCATAAAGTGTCAGATGTAAGAAATCCTACAAGTGGCAACAATTACTATCTAAAGTCTAAGTTTAACAAATGTGCAGTCTTTGAACAAACACTATAGACTTTTCATTTTCTGAACAAGGTTTGTTTCAATTTCAATATTAAAGCATTAATCCTATATCCAGGATATGCATTAATTGAGCTTTGAACATATAACATGTTGAGTCTGAATTATAAAACAAATATATTTTGCTGAAGAAGGCCGAAGTGCTGAAACATACATTAAAAAGTAGTAATACAAGTTGCAAGTTGTGTGACTTTTTCTTCAATTTATTCTATTTATAAATATATTATATTTACAGCCTTCTGCAAAAATTATGAGAATTGTTGAAATATCTAAAATATATCATAATATCGAGTGCATGATGGGTAATCCCGCGTGATGCCCTTAGTCCCTTGTCTTTGTAGTTTAGTTTTTTTATTGGAGACAGACTTATCCGTAGTTCTAAACATTTTCTCGATGTCAACAATGAATTATTCTAGCAAACCTTCGTGTTCCAGGCAATATATGGATATGGATATTATGATATTTAGATATTTAGACAATTCTCATAATTTTTGCAAAAGGCTGTATTGTTGTTATAATATAATTATTTTTAGTCAAATATGTTTTTATAACTATATGTTCATAGTTTTGTGTGTATCACAGAAACTGTATCACATTGAACATGCTTCTTTTTCTGGCTGGGTTGTTCAAAGCATGATTAGCATCAAACCATTCCAATCAAGTCCTTAATTGCATAAGTGCAGAATATAGGCATTAACCTTTGAACAACCTTGCCCTGAAGACTGCATATAAACTTACAACAATTTGTTGAGTTTAATGCTTAAATTATGTTCAGATTTAAATAAAGTTATTTTGTTATTTCAATTCTGTAGTAATTTTTGTTTTTTTCTTTAATAACCATCCAAAACTACTATAAAACACACAAAAACAGATCCATCAGTCTACCTGAGGTTAACAGTCTTCTTCCTGTACAAATTTCATACTGTTCTGGAGGAGGAGGAGGCGGGTATTGTGTACTCCAGATCATTTTGTGCAACTATGTTCTGTCCAGACCCCTTACTCTTTCATATACAATTTTTAGTACATATAGACTGCATTCATTATAGAGTGCATTCACTATAGTCATGAAATACTATAATACTATACTTGACTATATACTCCCAAAAAATTCTGACTCAAAATCATATTTTTCAATGACAGTGAAGCTGCATGCAGTCATTGACTGCGTATTTTTCACTATATAAGTTTAGTGTTTATTGAATTAGTGATCTTGTATACACCGACCTAATTGCAAAAGTGTTGTCACAGAAAAAAAGAATATTTGTACTTTTGTAAAAAGGAACAAATTGAAAAGGCCAATCCAAGATCACTCAGACTGACAGCTKTCGATCTTTTCTCTATTTCATGTAATGCTCCCTTATTACTAGAATGCAAATGTTCCAATTTGTCTATATAAACTTTTTTTGGCAATTTGGTGCATAATAGATTAAAAATGCTTAAGTTATCCATGGATAATAAAAATTATACACCACTGTATCTAGAGCGTTGATATAACCACTAATAATACAATGTTATATGATTTGATATTACCTTAATGAGTCGTAGCATATCTTTATCAAGCATATTCTCAGCAAGGTGGTTTCGAAGTTTTGAGGCAGGCTTAAGATAGAAGTGATCTGCTGTAAGCTTATTATTCAGTGACATTGAAAATTCCCCTTGATCGTAACGAAAAGCAGTGGCAAAGTGCTCCCTAGTTATATGTTGGCCATTGACTGTGAGGCACTTTTTTGAATCTTCCGCAAGGGAACTTTTGAGAATATTGTTTCTTAGTTTCTTGAAATTATGCTGAAATTYAAATAATTGCCACCTCATAAGTGTCATGAAAGTTTTAATACTTTTCTCTCCCTGCCATTTGTGTGTCGCCATACTTTTTATTTGATTTGATTATTGTCTTAACAGTGCTGAAAGTGTTTTTATTTTAAAAGCAAAAAGATTGCAAAAAGTATTYACAGTACTTCCCATRTGTCTCATACTTTGTATAGTATAACAAAATTATTTGAGTTTTCATTTTGTACCTTTGGATCCATGAGGAATATAAGAGGAATTCCAGTGAATGGGTTTGGAGTCATAAAACTCTTCTGTACTACATCAGCATCATTGGAAAAATGCAGCCTGATAAACTGGCGATTTACCTCGGCCCCGTCAAGTATGCAATAATAGATCCTGTGTAAACAATGAAATTATTTGCAGTCATTAGTAGAAGAAAGATTGATCAACGGTACATAGATTATCACACTATAATGGCATATCCAGAAACATTCAAATTTAAAACAGCAAAATAATTTGAAAGTCATGACACCATACTGTAAAGAGATCACAGGCAAAATGAAACTTTGTTTAACACAACTAGAACAGTAAAACCATGATACTCACGTAAAACCAAATTCAAACATTTTCATCACACYTTCCCAAAACAAAAAATATAGAGAACTTGGTGTACATGAACTTGATGGAAATTGTRCTATAKGGAATCTAAACCCACTGTCGCCTAAGAAGATGAACTGGAGAACATGTGATGCAAGTTTGGGAAGACCATCATCTTTTCCTATCGATAAGCAAAMGTYAAATTTCATATTTATTGTTACTATAAAAGAGATCTTGAGATATCTCTTCTAGTTTTAACAATATCTGTTATACAATAAGAATTTGGCAGCTGTTTTGATGGAGTCAAACTTACCAGACATGGCTTCCATGCAAGTGTGGATCTGTCCAAGGTCAACAAATYCAGTTATCCGATGCCATTTTTGACAASCATTTCAATATCTTCCTATTTAATCAAAGAATGTATTATAACAAAACTATTGATATTCATCGTTGGGAAGACAATTCTTGCATCAAGTAGTGTCAATCAATACCTGGATTTTCATTTCATCMAGGACAAGTCCTCCCMAAAATTCTGCTSTCTTCAAGCCATTCGCCCTTGCCTCACTGAMACACCACTCCAAAATATCTGACTTCCAACCAGGGGACTGCTCTACCTTATTCTTGTAATGACTGGAAAGCAATATATCTTTATGTAATAATTCCAAAATGGCATATTGAAATACATAGATTGGAATTCAGAATAGATGGAAAGTACATTCATTACTAAACCATGACACATATTCTAAAAGCAAATGATTCATGTAGTGTAGTTTAGAATTTACCGTATTGTCCTGTAAATTACTTTCCTTAGTGGATCTAGCACATGGGGGTTCYTTGCATAGAGCTCAATGCATAGTTTCATAATTCTTTTGAAAGAGAATTGAATTTATTTTTAATAGATAATGTAATTGACTTGTTTTTTTGTGTGTGGAATATATACTACCAGAGTTATAATAAAAATTTGAAATCTTGCAATCAGCTACACACACTCATTGTTATGAATAGTGTGTCTGTATAAATTAGAAATTTCTATTTATTTGCCTACTTTGGATGCCATCTGTATCTTGTGGAGTGTTTTTCTGTGAGTATTTTTCTCTGCTGTTCCCAGAGCACAAGCATATCCTCGGGAACATCTTTGCTCTGATCAATTGTTGTCATTATTGTTGACAGATCTTTGTGGTCTTCTGATTCAACATCCAAAAGTTCTTTCTCAAGTTTTTCAATTTTCTTTTTTAAATCCCTGTTGATTTTTCTCTCTCTCTCTCCAGCTTTATTACAATTTCTTCTTTTGACATGTACCTAAGAGAAACAGAGCAATTAAATTGGTTATTTTTTTAATTATGGTTTATGCTGTACTATTTATACCTGTGATTGGTGTATTTGTAATTGGDCCCATCAGTTCTTTCCATTTCTCTCCTTCTTTTCTTGTGCATTACTTTTTTTGCTTTTTCACACTCTGTGCAAGGAATGCCTCTTGTGTTTGTGAATACCTGCAATAGTATTTTTTATAACCATCTCAGTATAGAATTATTTAACAGAAAATCAAAGTATATCAAGAAAATATGTGAAGTTAAGATATTAGATTGTAAGAAGATTTGGAGCTTACTTCTTGTTTGTGTTTTATTCATGATATAGTAAGGATGTTAATCACCTGACAATTAGTTTAGAAGTTACGCTGTTCAAGCACATCATCATCAATGACATTCTATTGTCACAGCTTGTAATTTTCTTAAGAAAATAGAAACAACATACATCATATCCCCTTAATAAGAACAAGACATGAAATCCACCTATTTATTACTAAAGTGTAAACTAACCTTCTGTCTCTTACTGATTCCACTATATACYCAGATCCTTCCATCTTTACATCTCTTTCGACATTTTGTTACGG